AAGTGTCATTGAAATACGTCAAATTGATCAATATATATTCAATTTTTTTGTTATAATATATTGGTACAAAAATCTATTGACATCTAAATTACAACACACATTTATAAATGTTTTAAATTATTTATATTTCCAACAAGAAAATTTAGTTTTCACACACCATATTGACAACACTCACAAACTTCTTTGACTTTGCCAAACACTTATATATTAAATAATTTTTTAACCGTTTAGTAACCGTTTTCGTTAATAAACGCCAAAATAACGTAGCGCTTAACGTAAGGGCTTAATGGAGAAAGTTTATTCATCAGTAACGCTCCAAAGTCACAAGTGGGGTCGTTGTTTTCAATATGTTAGCAAAGTAATACTTCAAATTGATAAATCAACATTTATTCTATTTCATACTTTAAAAAACCTTTTGGTAACTATAATCGTAGGTTTTCGCTGACAAAACTTGACTAAAACTCTCTTCTATTACAGAATTAAACCAACAACAACATAACTCATAATCGTAACCCAAAGGGGCAGGAAAGACCACGGACCTCCACTTGGCGCGTTCCTGACACACCTCACTCACCTCTTTCACGCTCATACATGTAATACTATTGATAACAATTCCGTGTATTATTTATTTTTAAAATACTTAATAAGGTTCTATATACGTAAAAAGAAAAAATAATACCTCTAGTTTCAAACCGAGAAATTAGTTAAGGGCTTGAAAAGTTAAAGCCATTTTCATACTTAAAAAAAAACAATCTTCTTACTACGAATAAAATTTGTTTTTCAAGACGAGAATATTTTTACACTGTCGACGTTTGCAACGATAAGTTGGTGCTGCAAATCTAAATAATTTAAAACTTGCTCCAGTTCACTTTAAATCTGTAGGACAACTCAAATGCTCTGCTCTGGCGTCTTTACGTTAATCTTTTAAATATTTTACATTCGAAACATCATAAACATTGGCCAACTATTTTATGTAAAATGAGATTAATACAATAAGTATATAATTAGATCTGTATATAATTACTCAAGCTAATAGCCCAGCGGTGTAGTCAAAGACTACGAACTTCCTTTAAGCAAATCAGGAGACTTTTGAACTATTACCACATTCATACTTGTTGATCGTAAAGAAGAAATAATCATGACATAAGTATAATAACTGAGGTTTATTTTTGTTCATACATTAAAAATATAATAGTGTTTTGTATTTCATCTTGTACATTACAAAACCAAGTTATTACTACGGTGTATACTTGTGTTACGTGTATATTCGAACGCTCTATTGTTGAGACAAAACTTGTTGTATGTACTTACTTGTTTGTTAATTGTTTCGACAAATAAGGAAAGACTATTGAGGAACTATTGCTTAATAAACTTTGTAAGTTGATTAGTAACTAAACAATAATATAATTTATTTATCATGGTTAATATAATACTATTATATTTTTGTGAACTATGTTTAATATACCTATTGTAAGAGAATAAATTAAGTTAATATGTTAAAGAATCTTCATGAATCTTGTTAGAAAATTATCCGTGACATATTAAGTAAGGGAACGTTGAAAAACGAGATGAATGAATTAGAATCTGTTAAGAATTATGTTCTTAACGAAAGTCGTAAAGTAGGAAGTCTTAATTAAGTTAATGTAATTTTTAAACGTTCTTTTTTATGACTTTGTCTTTTAAAATTGAACATTAGCAAACGGAATTAATTACGCCCACTCTTTTTATGGAAGCAACTAAAGTAGTTGTAAAAATAATATTAAGAACGCTAATTGACCATTAATTTACAAAAAATTATACGAAACAGATCTTCAAAATCTTCAAAGATGTTTACTTTGGACTCTATTTTCGTTTCTTTTAAGAGTACTTCATAACATAAATATCATGACATTTTCAGTTGATACTCCAACGTAAATGTAGAGATGTCACAAATGTAACGACTCGATTTATTTTAGCCGACTACGTAAACATATGTAATGTTTACGTAGTACGTAGCGCATTAACATTAAAAATGTATCTAAAGCTGTGATAACGCGCTCCACTGTGATTTAGAACATAATTTTAATGTAGCAGACTCACATAAAGTTGTATACTCGACGCATAGCATAATATATTCTGTGAAATATTATGAAATGCGTCACAAATATCAAATTGTAAAAAAAAACTATATGTATTTTTAAGGCTTATTAGACATGTCTGTGCGCGCGTGCACAACGAATCTTACTATCTTGCTAATCTTACCAATATTATAAACGTGAATGTTTAGCTGAAAGGATGGATGGATGTTTATTAGAAACTATCAGAACGGCTGCTAGAGTCTCACTGAAATTAGGCATAAATGTAGAACATATTCTAGGTGATTGCATAGCCTACTAATTAAGTTTATTTTTAAGCCCGCACAGACGGAACCGCGGGCGACACCTAGTATTGTTACAAATACTAAAAATGTGTACATAAGATGTAAGGAACCATAAATCTTTTTTTATTTTATTTTATTAGACAGATCAATGTAAATAAAGACAGGACCAATCGGTGGATTTCCATTGCTGTCCCTATAAAAAAAGAGAGTGATGATAATCTGCTTATGAACAAGTTTTTGGATTGTGAGCACTCGCAATTTATTATGTTGTTTTCATGTTCTCTTTGACTCTGGAAATGTGATGTAAAATATGAAAACTTTGTAGTGGTGGTGGAGTAAAAAATATTTTGTAAAGCTTCAAATATTACAGGTACTGCGGCGAAACATTTAATCATACTCAGATAAGGTACTGTAAAGCTTTTAACAAATTGCATCAATTTTTAGGAAAAAGAACTGAAGTGGTTTATAGCTTTCGACAAAATTTAGTTGGCTTGCGCATTTTTTTTATAAAAATAACATCTATATTGTGGATAAAAATGTAATAAAATTATTAATCTTGTTTAAAAAATACGTTGCATTAAAACTAACCGCTTAACCTTTTTTAGTTTTATAATAATTTAGAATTCAACACAATTTCTAGTGAACATGATATTGAATAAAAGATTTTTGTAATTCGTACCAACCCAAATTTTTTTTATCTCTGCAGTTCAATCGATTTCGATGTCAGCTTAGTCGATTCAATAGAATCTGACTAATATTATGATTGTTTGGGTGGATTGATGGATGTTGGTTTGAAGGTATTTCTAGAAGGGCTGAAAGGATCTCGATGAAATTTGGCATACATATAGATATTCTGAAGGAACGCATAGGCTACTACTTATGTTTATTTTTAGTTCCGTGCAGACGGCTTCGCGGGAGACAGCTTGTCCTTTATCAACGATAAAAAAACGAGGTTCCGTCGACTCACCTTTATTCATATAAGAATAAACTTAATAATTTTTACTTAGAATAGTATTTCTATTATAAACTGGACACAATTCATTTATAAGGTTCTTAATGAGGAGTTTGCATGACGAATGTCTTAGAATTGTCATCAAACTAATGATAATTTAACACGCCATTGAAACATAATGTTACAATAATTTAACATCACATAATTTCCCAAATATGTCGTTAGAATAGATATTTTTACTACAAACACAAAGAGTCACGTGATCAATACTTTTCTTGATGTAATTTAATAAATAATTTTGTTTTTAAAATACTGGCAACATTATTTAGGTCATCATCATCAGCTACCCTAAATCAAGGGTGACTAGGCAATAGTCAATATTTATTATTATAATAGTTATTAAGGTCACCTAAGTGTAAAATTGTATATCGATAAAGTCTAGCTAGATACAGTCTCACAAACTTGTCTGGCCAGTGGAGAGAGCCGTTGCATGCAACAAATATCACACTTGAAAGACATGACTAGATAGCTACTTTAGTGTTACTTTTGCCCACTGGGCTGGACAACATTTTCTCACTTTTAAAGTAGAAACGCTTTGGATACTTCTGCTTATAAGTAATATGTAAAATAATATTCTTTAAAGCTTTTAATGAAAATACTTTAAATAGTGTTTACAGTAATAATATTGATAACGTGGCTGGTTATTATAACCACAGGCATATTAATTAGATTAATATGAAAATTTGTATTGGATTTATTTCATTAGGTACATAAATTGTATTGCCGCTTAATCCATTGAATTAGCAGTCGGTGTAGAGGACTATGACGAGGGTCGAATGTAGGGAAAGCGGCTTCAAATTTATATCACTAATTTGTAAGAGGTAAACCAAAATTAAGGATAACATAACTTTAATTTTATTAACAATTATAAACAATTAAAGGGCAATTCAAATCATCATTGAACGATACGCATATCTGACATGGACATTAAACCTCCTTGTTAGCACGAAGTTAATTTAAAATTATATGCTGTCAAGAATGTCGTACTGGCCACGTACACGCCGTGGAAAAAGAATGTGTGAAAAAAAATTACAATCGTTACGTTAAAAATTCTTATAGACAGTTTTTTTTTAATTTTATTACACAATATTTTTATTTCTTGCCATCTTTTTAAATTTTTCATTAATACTCTGAGGACTATTTTTCAATGAAAATCGTAAAGTATTCATTCTAATAAAATTAATTTGTCGTCAGAAATAAATATCGAAATAAAATACAATATACATTTTCAAGTAGAACTAAAATTGCATTACAATCGTTTGATTATATTATAGTGTAACGAACAGTCCCCTTACTTCTAGAACAAAGGCAAATTAGACGCGTTAGTTAAGCAACAATTACATTCGTTGTCGGGTGACGACGTCTATTGCCCAATTTATTTGCGGCAGAAGCTCGAGAATTCAACAATGTAAATGCACTAAGTACGGCAGACACTAACTAGTCGTATAATGTACCTTGTGTGAAATTACATACACAAACTAAATGGAGTTAAATGTTTAAAAAATAAATAGCAAAATAACGTTTAGAAGGATTTATTATTTCAAAAGTGCAAACTCGTGGATAGTAACAATTATTTTTGTACTTCTTTACGTTGGATATATTCATTTATATAAATGCATTTTATTCTAGTCATAGGACTACTTTTAGTTTGGCGGTGAGCTTACGTCTTGGGGCCCGGACGAACGAACCCCATCGCTGTCGTTGTGGGGTAGACGTCGATCCTCTTGGTCATCACGGTTTAGCATGTCGTCGCAGTGCAGGACGCATTCCGCGCCATGCCGCTTTAAATGACGTCATCCGTCGAGCCCTTGCCTCTTCCGGCGTGCCGGCAGTGCTTGAACCCAATGGCATTGCCCGAGACGATGGCAAGAGGCCCGACGGTATGACGCTCATTCCGTGGAAAAACGGGCGGTCACTCGTGTGGGATGCCACATGCGTGGACACTGTTGCTCCATCCCACGTGAGAGCGACCGCTCGTAAAGCCGGCGCAGCTGCGGCGACAGCCGAAATCAATAAAAGGCGTAAATATGCGGCGTTGGCAGATCCGTATATATTTGCGCCTTTTGCCGTGGAGACCTTGGGGCCTTGGGGTGCGGAAGCCCGTCGCCTGTTTAAGGAGATTTCCGCACGCCTCATCGACGCCTCAGGGGATCCAAGGGCTGGCGCGCATTTCGGCCAAAGGTTGAGCCTGGCCATCCAACGGGGAAATGCCGCCAGCCTCTTGGGAACCCTACCGTGCGACCGCAGCGATTTGGGGTCGATTTTTTATATTATTTAGTTTTATTTTTAGTTTGGTTTAGTTTTAGTATATAGTTTATAGTATTATTTTGGTAGTTTAATTAATTAGTTTTATTAAATAATTTATTATAGTTAAGTAAGAAGTTAAACATGAATAAAATTAATTTTTATCACTTCTAGTCATATTTCTAAAACTAATATTTTTATAATTTACAATAACCCCTTTGTGTCTTGTTATCTAAAATTTCCAGAACCATATTTCTAGTAAGATATAAATCAAGACCTTATTTTTATTCTCCCCAGATGTCTTATACATTTTACTTTCAATTCTATGCACGAACAGTCTTATTCGTTGGCTATCTTAATTGACTTTACTCTTGTTTGATTTAGTTTGGAAGTAGTACATTAAAAATAAATTGGACCTACTGACACCGCTGGCCGTCCGCAAGCAATTTCGCTAAGTTAGATATTTGATAATGAGTTTCGTTTTGAAATAATTTTAATATTATTTTAGAAAAACTTACACTGTGTAATGACAAGATTATGATAAAAATATGTCAAAATTGGTAAGGAAATTGTGAGTTTATCAGATGAGAATAAGTAAGGGATTGACCTACTTATTTTGATAAACGGCATAAAAAATGTAATATACGTAAATGTAAGCTAAATATAAATACTTATTCGTTGGCTATCTTAATTGACTTTACTCTTGTTTGATTTAGTTTGGAAGTAGTACATTAAAAATAAATTGGACCTACTGACACCGCTGGCCGTCCGCAAGCAATTTCGCTAAGTTAGATATTTGATAATGAGTTTCGTTTTGAAATAATTTTAATATTATTTTAGAAAAACTTACACTGTGTAATGACAAGATTATGATAAAAATATGTCAAAATTGGTAAGGAAATTGTGAGTTTATCAGATGAGAATAAGTAAGGGATTGACCTACTTATTTTGATAAACGGCATAAAAAATTTAATATACACAAATGTAAGCTAAATATACATACTCTTCGTAAAGTCAATGAATACACCTTTTCTTACCAATTCTATGTTAAAACGGCAATACTTGTAGTGTTATATTGCGAAGCTAAAATTCAATATGCCAATTTCGGAGGCATATGAAACACATTAGTCACATCTCGCACGATAACTCACCCGGCGAAATGAAATCTAGTAGGCGAAAATATAAAATATTGAACAATTTATCCTATTTAGTATCCAATTTATTCTTTAGCTTTCGAAGGCTACATATTATTGTACGAAATATATCTGACTAATAAGTTAGATTTAATTAAATGCGAATGTTTAGATGAATGGATGTTTGGTTGAGGTGTCGCCGGAATGGATCAACGGATATTGTTTACAGATGAAGCATATAGTCTAGAAGAACACATAGGCACATTAGGTTTTTTTTTAATTCCGCGTGGACAGAGTCGCAGGCAACTGCCAGTACAATATACAAAATAAGTTTAGTCCATATTTTTAAATGTCACGAATTGATACGGTTGAAGGCGGTAAAGGTGCAAATAAAAAATAATTGTGATTGGAAGGACCAACTATATATTTGACATACTTATTTAATAACCGGCCAGCACTCGCCACTAAACAGGATATGTTCTGGATATAACAGATTACTTGAAAAACAAACTACAAATAATATAGATCTCTTTGGCACGAACTTTCTCTTTCAAAAAAATTATTAAAACTTATTTCAGTATGCATAATCTATAGAATAATTACAAAGATAAAAAAAAATCTACTATTTTATAATAATTTCCGAAACCTTAAACTATTACCTAAATAAATACCTCTGTAAATGTTATGTACACCAATATTTACATATGTATAAGATCTAATACTATTCATTTGATAAGTTGTATGTGTGTTATATATATGTTGTGGTTGTGCTTAAATAAATAAATAAATAAATAAACCCGGTGTAGGCTTAGGTACAGATGGATGGACTGCGTCAAAGGCGACAATACTAGAAAGAGGTGGACAACTAAAAGGACGGATGATAGATCTAGAGACGGACGGATAAAACCTAGTGCGCTGACCCTACGTGAATTACATAGAAATGGCAGATAGTGATGACTTATAATTAAAAGATAAATAATAAGCGTCGGTGGCTCAGGAGTCAAGCACTTGACTTGCAATCTGCAGGTCCTGGGTTCGAATCCCGCCATGTACCAATGTGTTTTTCATTTTTCCATTTTTTTTACATTTATCCGACGTTCTTACGGTGAAGGAAAACATCGTGATGCAACCTGCACATGCACGTGTGAAGTCAACCAACCCGCACTTGGCCAGTGTGGGTTGGTTGACTTTACTATGGCCTAGTCACCCCTAATTTAGGGTAGGGCCCGAGCCACTCGATGGGGACATATAGTGAGCTGATAATGATGAAGAAGTAAAACTTTTAAATATCGAATTTGAATAGTATTTAGGCGTTAATAAATCTTTTGTAATCTTAACTTAATTCATTCATGAATAAAATTATGTTATTTGAGGCTTTATATAATTCGGAACGTTTCCAAGTTTTGATAAGCTTTTTTAGTACAATTTTATAATGAAGTATGACAATGATTTTTTTTTTGGTATAATTTAATTTTATACTGTATCATGTATTCAAACTCACATATTCAGTGTAAATTTCGGGAGAAGTTTTTCAAAGTAATAAATAATTTTAAAGTAAATTTTATATTAAATTAACCTAAAAGTTTTAAATAATTTGTCAAAGGGACTTTAAGGTTTTGCTTAAAATCCTTTAATCTGTCACAGGTAAAGTTTCCATTAATTTTGCAAGCCTAATGATTTATACCTGTTTGAGTTATTTAACCTTAATAAAACTTAAGTTAGGAGACTAAGCACGACAGATGTTATGTAAAATTTATATTATAACTTGATTCTAAGTATTATAAATATATTTCATATTAACGTACTTAAAACAAGAAAAATGTAAGTGAAAATATGACATGATTTTAATGATATTTAACGCACTAGTTGGTTAATAAAAGTCAAACATTGAATGTCTTATTTATTTATATAGAACTAACAGCCTAACAAATAAGTTTCAAATCACAACTGTATGACGATACTACTCCTTAAAACCTCTTTTGTGCGTTAAAATGTACTTTCACAGGATCTAGAATATCTTTGGAGTGAAACCGAGACAGACCGGCAGACAGAGTAACTTTCGCATTTGTACTATTAGTAACAATAAATTAATTAATAGTAATGATTTATAATTTTCATATTTTAGGCATAATATTTGATTACCAATTAATTTTCATGGCAATAACATATTATTATCAATGTACATTGGAGTTATCAAATTTTACAATAATGTAAATGATGATTACCATCATTAATCTCAGTAATTAGCAGCGATTCGTGTTCGACATTGCGCAGTAATAAATTATTACCCTAGATGTTATTATTCGTGTTCACTTATGCAGGTTTATGATGCCGTTTATAAGTAATAGAGTTCTGTATAATGTTTAACTTGTATTGTGGTGACGTTCTAATTTATTCACATAATATTTTTATAAACGGATATTAAACCTTTTTGCAACAGACTTTCTTTTTAAAAAGAGAAGTGATCAAACGAGCATCGCTTATTGTTTGATCGGACGAAAGACATCCTTATGGCAAAATAAGACTTGGATTGCATAGCATATAATTCGGAGCTAAATTAATATAACACTATATTTCATATGTCCAATTAACATTAATTTTATTAACATCAAATACTTATACAAAATAATGGAAAAGAAAAATGTTTAAAAGTATTTTCGCCTTAAACGAACTCTCATAAAACTTATTCCGCGCGGCAATGTTTCCGTAAGTAATATAATGAGATTAAAATGGAAATAGAACGTGAAATGTCGGATTCCCTCTTAGAGAAGTGATGACAAATCAAATCTTTACTGAAAGGCATGATTCATCTTCTTTGAACTTTAAATTGGATTCCATCTCGAAATTGTTGTTGGGATACGTCTCTATCTAATAATATTTTCTAACATTCTTACATATTAAAGTTATACGATAAGTTTTATTATAGTTCAAAATATGCATGTCCCTTTTATATCCTACTAGCGGATGCCCGCGACTCCGTCTGCAGGGAATTAAAAAAAACATTATCATGCAAATTTCACCGAGATCCATGAAATCGTTCTGAAGATGCATTCTCACAAAAATCCATCGATACAAACATTGGCATTTATAATATTAGTAAGATAAAAATTGTTGTTCTCTTCGAAAAAAACCTATATAACACTTAAACATATATATGCTATACAAGTATTTAGGCGGCAATTTCACAGGCACATACATTTAATTATAAAAAAGCTTTTAAGAGATGCTTCGAAAGCACTTTGTTTTTAATTAATTTAAATCAAGTAAAAAAGAAATTAGTTTTTACCTGACCGAAGCAACGACTTGGCAATCGGTGATCAACCGCGTAGTTATTTGACCTTGATATTTTATCGTAACCTGTTTGGTTAAATTGGCTTGGGTTGCTTTTGAGCAAAAAAAAAGTAGAACTCATAAATGCACGGAAATAAAATGTTTCCAAGATTTCAAACATTGTTTAAATTTACATATACAATGTATTGAAGAAGAGACAAGGTTCCGAAAATCTAGAGATCAAAAAGACATACGACTGAAGTTTAAATTAGATAACACGTCATGTTTTCACAATTCTGACTTTATAATTCGCGTTGCCTTTTGTTCCGTTGTTAATTCAACTTTACCGAACTACGTAAATATTTAACATTTTACCTCCCTGTATGTGACAGTTGCAATTCGCCAGTTCGTACGTACCTAACGTTTAATACATAAATAACTCAAAATAAGTTATCCATAAAAAATCTTAAAAAGCGCGAGATTAAAAATATATGTTGGCTGATTCTCAGACCTTCTCAATATGCTCACAAAATTTCATGAGAATAGGTCAAGCCGTTTCGAAAGAGTATGGGAATGAAAATTGTGACACGAGAACTTTATATATAAGATTAAGTATTTTCTCATAAAAATATCGTTTTATTTATTACCGTTTATTAATTATTTAATGGATGCGATATGGATCATTCATAATTGTTAATTTCTGGATGGATATTTAATTGAAAATGACCTTTAAAATACTTTAACCTCTAATATACAAAGCAAAACATAGTATCAATAATTTTGTACAAATAATTATGATCATGGACAACAAATAAAGAATATAAGAAAATGCATCGCACAAAAGCCAATTTCCTTTTTTTTTCCTCGGAAAAAACTTTGCAATCACTTTTACTGCGCAGCTGCAGTACTGCAGTCTTTTTACAACAAACAACAAAGCAAATTACTAAAAGTTGTCCTCGCCTAGTTTTCTGTGTTG